ATTACTCTTTTTAGGGGCTCACTAGTTATTCACTACACCGCTCAGGACCTCACTTTGCCTCTCTCTCACCAAATTTTTTTTACCGTAACGGTGCTATCAGCAGTCATCCACTAACAGGAATGATTTGATAAGTACAATTCGTTGCTGGGCTCAGTTAAGCTGAAGGTGCAGGCAGAATCATTGTGTTTAACTTCAGTTGAAAGATAAACAGTGTTGAGAGAAAGGTAAAGCAAAGGCCACGGTTGATGTAGTGGATGGTACCTCGTAGTCCTTCAGTGAGTCGACAGTAAGGGATAATAGCGGGTTCGAAGCTCAGTCGTAGTTCAGAGTTTGGCAAGGAACTCTCATTTTCTTCTCATTGCTATTCATTTCTATAATGCCTTTATGAAAAAACCTGCCCTAAAGCAAGTGGTAGAGTCGCATTTTCCCATTATCTTTCTAAAAATCCTTCATTTGCAAATAAGATGCTGTGGTAAAGATAATTAGAGGGGCCGTTATTACATGTGCAGGAGTAAGTACAATCGTTTGAATTAGTATGATAAACAACCGGCACCCTTGGCTACAAACCAGGGTCAATTCAGACTAGTTTAAAGGAAAAATCCTACTTCAAAGACTGAATTTTATCTCTAACATAAAACCATTTAATCAATATTTTAATTACAACGAAGTAGACGTTGTAATCACTGTGGCTCAATGAATCGGAAGCAGCTTTTGAATAAACACCGAGCACTCTATTACGCCATTAAGTTCGCAATCGCTCCTTTGTCCTGCATAATTTGTCGGGACAGATATTGAAAAAGCTCCTTTACAGTACACTTAACTTCCAGTGAGGTTTTGCGATGATGATTTTATTAGTAAAACTGGAAAATCGCTTCATTTTTGTTCAAATAGACACGAAAAACTTAGACCTCCACAAAGTATTCTACTAGGCAGATAAGTAACAAAAACGTAATAGTAGGAAATTTAAGCTAAAATTCTGGTGGAAAGCAGGGTTTGAAAACTAAAGCTAGTTGAATTTTAAAAGAAAGCTCTAACAACTAAAATTTGGAGCTGCTTTCAGTTAACTTGAAGACCGGAGGGACTACTTCCTCGTAAACATGCGTCCATTGACCCTTTTCTCCAGGTAATCTTTTGACTTAAGTTGGCCATATAAATAATCTGAAGTGAAATCTGTGTATGTGTGGTCTTCTCTAAAGGTTAACGACATTAAATGGAGGATGGATTTTTATAAAACTGCTTACCATTCTATATAAAACTCGGTTTGAAATCTCCCGTTAAATTCATGAAAGTGTTTACACGTTAGAACGAGGTTTTTTAGGCTTTTAAGAAAGTAAACTCCTAAAGGTTTACCGCGTCATCGTGATTAGGTGGTTTTCCTGTGCGTCAGACGACGTTGTAGATGGCGAAGTTTCATCCTCCCAACAGGGTCTCCCAAGCTGAAAAAGAGGTTGGCATTTTCAACAAGTTGTCCAGCTAAGAGTAAACCAATACCAGGATCCAACACCGCCTTGGTATCAAATCAGTCGCAAAGTGGCGAATCTCACTCTGACAAGACAGCGACTCTCTAGGGTGGTGACGACCTGATGAGGCATTCGTCTAGGCCGACCTCGGCACTCCAGAAAGCCACAATGACTAAACCAGCAAAACTCCGGCCTCAGCACTAGGTATGTGAAACAGCCGGTAAGAGGCGATCAAATCTTGTGTTGCAAAGGACGTCGCTGGTAGCGGATAATACGAGCACGCCCACGGCACGCTATGAAGACTAGTTTTTCATTTGTGCCTATAAGTTCGGAACATTCTTTTCAGACGCCAACACACTCTCCTTGAGGCCGCTGGTCGCATCAAGTTTCATGTGATTATCCTACAAGACACGAGAAGTAGAAAGACCGACATGTGTCAATTGAATGACGGAGCACTTATCAGTTGTAAGGAAAACTTTCCTTTACGAAATTGTGGAAGAGTTAAATTTGTCGTACACCCATCAAGTTCTCATGTAGTCACTCTATACGATATACTATCATCGCGCTTGACCACTCTTCTTCCACAAAAGAAAGAAGGTATCACCAACTGCTACTCACCAACTTGTACAACAAATGAAAACAAGCTGGAGGTGCTCTACAGTGAATTCGAAGAAGTAATCCGCAACGAAAAGTTCTATAAATTTTTTACTGCAGAGATATTTGCAAAACTCGAACACCAGACGAGATTCGAACCAGAATTATTGTGGTTGCATTTCACATAATAGCTTGCCATGGAAAAATAAAGATAACAAGCAGCAAACAAAAAGTTATACAGTGTTGCTTGAGACTGCAATGTGTTAGATTAGGAACGTCCAATTAAAAGAAACGGAGGATAGGGAGATTAGGGGTAGTAAAACCAAATGAGATTAGAAACCTTCTTGTAGGGCTCCTTTGCGCAACATATCTCTTCCTTGGGAATTCATTTTTCGAGAAAGGCAGAAAATAGCCGATAGACGTGGAAGTCTCCTAACGGCACGACTCATGAGGAAATCGATCATATTCTCTAGAATAGAATATGGCGCTTCTTTGATACCTCAGTGGTGCCTGGATTCTCTAAAAGACCTGGTCACAGCCTTCTTAATGCGAATATTCGATTCAGCCATATATTAGAACAGAACTTCTGTCATCGGGAAAGAAAAACAAGGCAAATCGTGTATGTCGAAAATATTCTCAGTAGGATTCTCTCACACGACTGGCAAATGAAAGACGACCCGACCAAGGATTGCAAGGTGCTTGTCGAAGGACTTAAGATTAGTGCCAAATTCGCCACATTACCCCAGACAACTACTTCAGACCGCATCTCCATCACCACTAAGAAGTCGTTCGAAAAGAGAAGGAAAGTGGTGTTCTAGCCTACTGCAACGTACCTAGCACGGGTGACAGTAGATACCACTGGTAAAAGATTTCCGGGTGTACCATCCTGCACTTTTTATAATCTTTGTCCACTACGAGAAAGCGTTTGACAGCGCCGAAATGAGTGCAGTCCTCTCAGCACTCCGAAGACTAGCTGTCTGCTATCGGAATCGCAGCACAAATGTACATATTTTTCATCGATATCTTACAGTTCCTATTGGAAACGGTGTTCTACAGAGCGACCCAGTATCGCCTCTCACTGCAATAGATGATGAGGCCACATGATTGGGACAAAAAGCGGACACGTATTGATGGAATGTTCTATAACCGGCTTTCCATTAACCACGTCGTTGATTGACAATTCACTGTTTTTCACCAATCATGGAAAGGCCAAATTGACATGAAGTCTACTTAGCTAAACCCTTTCATTAGCTTAGGTGATAAGATTTAACACGTAAATTTACATTCGCATAATAAACAGCTTCTTCTGAACACCCACCGTTTTATTCTTTGTAAACATTCCAGTTAATTGGTAGAAAGCAATAGCACAGAGCAATACATTGGCGATGAACGTGCCTGGATCAGGTCGGCGAAGCAGCCTAAGGTATGGTGTGTGAGATCATACCTGATCACAAGGCACTCCTTCTCGTGGTTCATTTTTGGATTACTAGAGCTAGTCCGAAACGCTTCACGAGTTTTATGCCCGATGTTTTGGATTTCTGCGGTAGGGCAATGACTTTTAGTTTAAAATCTTCACCATTATGTTTCTGTGTCCTATGCGCGCCTAGTGGAGTGTTTGGTTTCAAATTTAAGTTTGCCGACAAGGTGTTTTTTAAACGGACAAACTGGTCTAACCGTTTCGCCAACGTATTCCATATGCTTTGCAAGAGATTGGTACACCGTACCCTAGCTCATACAATCAGCGACTCTAACTTTAGGTCATATTTTACATTTTTTCGTTGTACATAGACGTTCACGTAGGCGGTAACGAATTAGCTGGCGTCTTAGAGTATCCGGTGATATTTCTATCACTGTTATCGAATTCTCCAGGTCGACCCTTCTTAAGCAATGTTTTATACCTGCACTTATTTCGTCGGAAGTAAACGGCGGAACAAACGGGACTTTATTTTCACTGGAGCTATCGTTTAGGGATGCAGTTTCCCTTTACGCCAATTCCGAGCAGCCATATTCCTTTTGCTTTCTTCGTGTGAACACAGTTATGGATATACGAAACATATTTCTTACAAGTGCCTTTTTGGTGTATGAGTGATGAGAACAGAGGTAATGAACCAGTATATTCTTACTACCTGGCTTCCTGCACCATTTTTTGATGTATGATTTCGGATAGATTAATTTGAACGTTCAGAAATGGAAGCTAGTTTTCTTTCTGTTTTTCTCATATAAGTTTTATGCACTCTAACTGATCGTTCAGTGACTCAAAAAATTTGCCCACTTCGCCTTATGTAGAGCAGATGACAAAGCAATTATCTATGTATCCACATTAGAATAATGGTTGGGGGTCGATCACTGGTGTTTCTTACCTTAGACATAAAGGCAATAGCAAGTCTTGGTACCAATCGCTGTCCCATCGTCAACCAACTAATTTGCACGCAGTATTTCCTGGATTATCTGAAGATCGACCAGATTAGGCAGACCTTAAGTAGGGCCTTGAGCAGCTGAATCGTAGAGCCATACACGTTAATTGCTCCTTCGCGCTGCACAAGAAGCTCCTGATGGCTTGCATTGCGGAGTCATTCGATACATTAAAAAGGATAAAGCTCTCGCGTTCATCAATACCTGAGGGATGCGCCATGCATTCGACTTCATTAAGCATCGTAGGAGGTGATGAAAGAATATCTGACCTTCACAATGACTCGCTCTGGCCTACCGATCTATCGAGCTAGTGCTATTATCCTCCTAGACAAGTCTGACCAATATGCCGACCTCGGAGGTATGGAAGGCTTTGTGAGCCACGTGTTCGGGGATCGATCCTATGTGTGTATTGCTAGAGGCTTCCGACCACTGCGGCAAACGCGCCACTACAAATTAGTATTATAACGTAAGACTAACGTCGGGAGGGAGGTAACGTCGAAAGACTACATAACGTGCGCTCTGTTAGGACACGTGATGCCAAGACGATACAAGAGCATTTGGATACTTGTGAGGTGGGCTGGTATGTGCTTCAGCTACCGGATGAGAATTAGGTTTATAAACCAAGCTATCACATCGTTAAGGCCGTTTGCACAACTGGTCATGGGTCGAACACTGAGGGTTGAACGGTCGGTAGACGCCAGATTATCGGGTACATTGGGCCATATACTGACTTATGAGTTTTGGTAAGCAACTATGAAACGGATCATGTTGGTAATTCGATCACAAAATGCGAAATATCTGATGGTTTTAGGCCTGCCGCCTACCACGTTGTCCCACTCATTGTTCAATTTTGGACATTGGTTTTTGCATACCTTCTCAGATTTTGCGCGATAAAGCGAAGCGCCTTCAAGACGTTTTTCGCCTATCTCGACATCAAACTGGCGAGGAATTACTACAAGCTTGAACTTACTCGACACTTGAACGGCCCGTCCTCACTAGCTGTGCAGACCCCAGCATAATCACCACTTTTCGGAAATTTGCTGATTAAATCATTGTAGTTCCTTGGAATCTCGAAGACAGCTTAGCCAAAGTCTGTCCCACGTCGTCACCACGACAGGCAGTCGCAACCCTTGTAGACAAACAGGGAGATTTGCCACCATGCGACTACTTTGATACCAGGACGGTGGTGGATCTCGGTTTTGGTTTACTATTGGCTAGGTTTTTTGGTGGAAACGCCGGACTTCTTTTCAGCTTGGGAGACCCTGTCTGGGGGACGAATCCCATGCTGTGCATCGCAGTCCGACACTCAGAAACACCTCCCAGCCACGATGAGGCAGTCTACTATAAACTTTCCACCCTTGTCACTAATTAATAGCCCGATGGTTTTTGATTTTACTAGTTCTTGAACCTGACGCATACCAGACCTTTTCGCTGTTGTAAGGTTGGAACTGAACTCATGGAAGATTTCTAGCAAATTTTCGTTTCTCGGATGGCACCGTCATCTTTTTGGGGAGAACCAGTAAAGCAAAGACGATGAACAATAAATTAAACTAGTCGGGAAAAAGGATTGGGTTACGTATAAATAGGAGGAAAACTCATTTCATGAAAAACCAATGGTGCCAAGGCAAACAAATCGAACTGGATGATTCGCGGATTACAGGTGTCTTCTCATGCGTTACTATGTGTTCTCAATGAACATGAAAACAACAGGAAAGATAAGTGAGACAAAAGAAGGAAAGTAGCATAGGCTGCATTCGGACCTCTCAAAAAAGTGATCAAGCACGTAATGGAACTAAAACTCCGCGCTCACCTAAAACACGAATTAAACATTCTTCCCAGTGCTCTGCTTGAGAGCTTAATCTTCATAAAGTAGGTGCACCACCCACTGAGTGCCTGAATGATTTTTGTGGAATTCAGCTGGCACTCATAATGCCAAGCCATAATTCGTTGCTCAGATCTTCGAAACTTGTCCCGTCTTCGAGATTTAAGAGAATACATATCGGTAACAAAATACAAATAGGCCTGCCGTATACTAAGGAAGGCAGATGATGGAGGTCGGAAAGAACGGTGGGCTGCCTCCAAGAGAATGCAATCGTCGCTTCGGACTAGCATCCAAACAAAGGGCGGACGTGTTAATTGCTAACGTAAGCCATCCATATATGAAGATGGTGACGATTTCAGAATTGAGGAATAAACCTCGTGAACGTGACCATGTTCGGATAGACCACCACCATCGACGACAATTGCACGAAAGAGAAACGATTGGAAAATATGCCGGTGCTTGCACGACCAGTGAAGACGAGTTGTCGGACCATCCAAATATGCAAGTGAGAAATAGCTGAAACAAATGTTGGTTGTGGTAAAATATTAGAAACAGAATATAAAAACTCAGAAAACCGATTTTCTGCAAACGTCGGCATAAGTAGTCGATATATATACAATCAAATTGATGTATATGTACGAACTTCCTTTTCAAGGAGTACGAAAAAAGGATGTTATACAATTCTTCATTAGGACCGATGATCCAAGTCGGTGGTTCATAGTTGTTCATCTCTTCTCGATGTGGCGCCTTCGCCTTCGTATATGGTCGGGCTTTCTTCAGTGGACATCTCTCGAATGAGGCATTCTCAGTCGGCGGCGCTCTTTTATACAGAATGCTAGTTGTTCATAATAGTGGCTTCCCGGTGGTAACAACTTGTTTTTCCGGTCAATCCACACTCCAGAAGTGTCGGTATTATTGTCAGCTAGCACAGATCGTAATAGTGATATTTCGAAAACTAATTTTTCTTTAACCTCGTTATGATTGACCAAAATGTGTTTAAATTTATGAGCTTGCACAAGACTGTTATATGTTTTATTCGGCTAATACTTTGACATCTTGGTCTTCATCGCACTGTAGACGGTCACATTTATCAACAGCTATTACCGACGATTGTCAGCATCGTGTATAAAAGAGCGTCAGCAGCTGGGTACTCCTCATTCGGGAGATACTCCACTGAGGCAGATCCGACTCGATACGAAGGTGAAGACACCACATCGAGAAAACGAACAACTGTGGACAATCGACTTAGATGATCGGCACCGATGAAGACGATGACGTCGAAACGCTAGCCGAATAAAGAATACTTGTCAACATAGTTAAGTTTATCAAAGAAAAAATACGTAATAAGGTTCGGATCATCCGCTCTCTGTACAAACCATTCAAAAAATTTTGGGAGGTTAAGAATGCTGTGAGTTCGCAGCATAATTTATGAGATACTTTGTCAGATGAAAAGACAGAATTTCAAACTGTTTCACTCTCTTTATTTAACGGCCCGTCTATCACACCTACAATCGAGAAGCTGTACATTTTCTTCTTTTCGTGCTCTACGAGCAGCTCGACAATGGCTTGCATCATTTTCCATCGTTCCCCACTGCAGACATCTGCGGTCCGGACTTTGCAAATATCTCAGCATCTTTATGGTTCTTTCACAAATAATACCCTGCTGTGAAAGCTAGTAAAAGGCAGTAAATAAAAGTCAACTTTTTGGTGTTAGCTAAATGGGTTGGAATAAATTTTAGCAACTGGGTTTAGAAACTACGTTATTCTATCCGTTGGTCCGCCTATAGAACTGTTGATAGGTTCAACATTAAATGATGTTTAGCACCAAGCATTGTCGTTGGTTTCATGTCTAAGGTGGAAGCTCCAGTTCTCGATCGCCTACCCTTAGTCTACTGTCAGTACATACACGACTGTTTCACCGTCTGTTCCACACCAGAATAGATGGATGAGTGCTTTGAATTGTTAAACCGACGTCAGAGGGTTTAAAATTTCCGCAGGAAAAACCAACCGAGAACAGAATTCCATTCTTAAACAACCAAATAAATAGTTCCCAGGATCGACTTTCTCTTAACCTCGGCATTGGAATATGAATGTGTCGTTTTCTTGTTCAGCAATGGCGAGGTTTTTAAACAGCTTACATTTAATTCCATAAAAAACACAATACAATACAACGCTAGCTGTCGTTTCGGCAGTATCGCCTTCTTCAGAGCCTGGAAGGGTTTACTGATAAAAATCAACTTCCTCCGCCGCTGTTTTCAACATCGAGTCGTGCCGAAGTTTATAAAACGAAAGCGACTTCACGAGAAATGCGGTCAACCAGAGGGCAGCCAACAAGTACGAGGCATCGAAATGGAACTACTTCGAGCTGCACTACGAAGCAAGCAGAACGAGATGTTTGCCAGAATGAAGAAGTGTGCAACGAAGGAACATTTTTGTGCTTTGTATTTGGAGGATCGCCTTTGGAGGAGGATAGTTGGTGGGTCAATATTGATATGCGATTTTATTAGATCTAATGCCAAAATAACCTTACAATGGAAATTCGAAAAGCTTATGGGTAATTCACAGGTCTCAGCTTCAAGAAACAACCGCAAACGAATTCCTTACGTTTCTGATAATAGTCAAAATGGGGTTGATAATGCACCAAGAAAATCTAGGATCACCTTGATTGGAGGCATAACAATACCTGAGAATGCGCGGTCGCTATTAGAATTGGGCCCAAGTTTTGCACCATCACGGCCCATTTGTAAAACGACCCTGCGTAGGATAGCATGCAACCTTTATGAGCTTCAAGATCGACTCCGCTATCAGGCCAAGCAAGAAACATCAAATAGAGATAAAAATCAAGAGGCGGCGACACTACCACCATCTCCTTTCCCAAAAACGTTTTTTAGACAGCAGGACCCTAACGATGGAGTTGACCTAAAATTCTGCGCGTTTTCGGACGGCGTTCTCAAGACCCTTGATCACTATCGCGATAGAAAGTTTATCTCTAACCTTAGAGCCGCACAAAAATGTGGCAAGCGGGAAATTAGAGAATTAATAAACTCGAAAACAATAAGATTGTCTGTTAGTGATAAGGGAGGAGAGTTCGTAGTTATCCCTCGCCAGCTGGATGTTGAGATAACAGAGGAACATCTGAGTGATGCTACTCTCTATCGCCCATCCTCTGAAAAGGAATATAAAAGTCAATACCGAAAACTAAACAATCAATGGGTCAGCGTGGCAAAGCTGCGGGTTTAAAATCATCGGTTATTTCGCACTTTAAAATCGATAGACCAACATGTCCCGTCCTATACCTACTTATTAAAACACATAAGTTGGTATCACCTGATGATCATGCGTCAACCAATCCGTTATCATTTAAGGTTAGACCCATCAACAGCAGTGCAGACGGGCCAACGGATAGAATAACCTGGTTTTTAAGCCTGATACTTACCCAGTTGCTTAACCACATTCCAGCTCACCTCACAAACACCCAAATGTTCCTAGAACGTCTACGTAACGCGTCTCCCAATAACGCGTACGTGATGGAGTCTTTCGACGTTACCGCACTGTACACCAACGTATCGAATGACTCCGCAATGCAAGCCATCTTCGAACTTCTTGTTGAACATGAAGGAAGAATACACATGCATGGATTCTCTATTCAGCACATTATGGTTCTCTTAAAGGAGTGCCTAAACTGTTCGATTTTCAGATGGTCTGGGAAATATTTCACGCAAATGAGGGGGTTGGCAATGGGACAGCGATTTGCACCAAGCCTTGCCATTGTGTTCATGTCTAAGATAGAAGCCCCTGTTCTCGATCTCCGGCCACTCTACTCTACTGCAGATATGTGGATGATTGTTTTGTCGTCTTCTCTACGCAGGAGGAGAAGGACAAATGCTTTGAATTATTGAACGAGCAGTCCGAGTACATAAAGTTCACCCGGGAGAAACCGAGAGAAAACTGGCTTCCGTTTTTGGACGTCCAAATAAACCTATCAAGTAGCGGTTGCCTGACAAAGTGGTATCGAAAGCCAAGTAACAAGAACATCCTTGTTCATTTTCTTTATTCCCACCCTTCACACACAAAGAGGGCGATTGTGAGAAACATGTTTCGAACAACCACCTCTGTGTGCACTACCAGGGAACTAAAGGAAGAATCGCGCGACTTGGCTCGGCAAATAGCCATCTCCAATGGCTACGAAATAGTAAC